AAATTATATCCCTTTAATGAACAATTTTCATGGAAAACAAGTCAAACAAATACAAAAAAAATCCAAAATTTCAACATTTTCCAAGTGAAAAATTATACAAATCAAACACAATTAATTGTCAATTTTCGGAAAAACAAGTTCTAGACAATTATTTTTTCTGGAATTCATTTTCTTTCTACACATTTTCTATTTTTGCAATCAAACGGACCCTAAAACTTAGTCCCTGTTTGATGGCCATTATTTAGGAAAAACAATATTTTGAATAGTAAATTTTTAGAGAATGTATGATTAAAAAGTAGAAAAAATTTGAGTTTACGTGTACAATAGTTTATTGTGTAAATATATTATTTTGAAAAAAGAATTTAAAAAAAACTCGTTAAACAAGGGCATAAAAGGAAAAAAAATTACACGAAAACATGGATTTAACATCTGATGTGGTCATGAAAAAAGGTACCTAGAGCACGAGGACTCCCAATGCTCATTTTTTACAAACATGGGACCAATGTGCTCGAGGATCAACGTATCCTCGATATACCCCGAGGATACGCGGTAAGTTTCCATGACATTTCTTTTGGTCATCCTCGGGTGTGAGTCCTCAGGTATTTTCCTTAACCAAATTTCCTTTCTTGATCAAGCACGAATAGTTCCGACCTAATAAGGACTCTAACCCTATCTAAATACCTCAATTCCAGAGTCATAGGTTCAGAAGGAGTTTATCTCGGAAGATATCACAGTTAGTGTAGGATTAGACTTTTGATTGTCGTCTAACACTTATCACAATTAGAATTCCAAAAAGTAAAGAGACCAAGTCTTGCTAGGATTGTACCACCAGCCTCTATAAATATGAAACTTAAGATTATTATTCAGGTACGTTTTTACATATAATTTCAGCTCTCAAACTTTTAACATATTCTCTATTTGACTTAAGCATCGGAACAGCGACGATGACATACCTGACGCCTTTGTTTTAGGTATCGGAATATTACGTTCGTATTCATTCTTAGTTGTCAAGCTCAAAATTCAACAAGTGCGACTTTTGGTAGCATCATTGACGCCGTCTGCGGAAAATGCTACCAAAAGCAATGGTCAACACACATTCAGGTCTTTATCTAGCAAGATCATCCGCACCAAACCCACCACCTATTATGGAGCCTCCAGTCCATCAAGAAGAGTTATCAGCATTACCAGATACTCAACCGGCAGTGGTTACTGTTGGAGCATTCAAAGAACTCTGTCCGCAAGTTACAATGCTGACTCAACTGCTAAGTCAAAGAGATGCTCATCCGGCACCAACATAAGCACCTACCCAAGCTCAACCAAGAGGTTTCATGGCTGATGCTCGAGCTCGGGACACCCGTGATGATAATGGTAGATATGGGGCCTCGGGCATACCCCCAGTAGCCTCCACCTCGAGATTGGTTACCATAGACTCAGGAAAACTCGCTGGGATCATACAAAATGGGATTACAGTTGGACTACTACAGAATACCCAAGGAACGACAGGGTTTATCCTTAACACACCGTTCACACCTATTCGCTCCCGAATAGGTTCAAATTTCCCCGCATAAAAGAGTACGATAGGACCTCTAACCCCATCAACCACTTCAATGTGTACACAGATGTCATGAACCTACAGGTTGCAGCAGACCCAGTAATGTGCAATGCATTTCGTCAAACTTTGACCAATGCTACCAGGATTGGTTCGCCAAGCTTGAGCCTAATTCTATAGTATCATTCTCAGATCTTGCCAATAAGTTCTATGCCTTTTTTGTAAGTAGTAAGCACATCAGGAAGACAACAGCTACCCTCATGCAGCTCCGCCAGGCCCAAATGAGACCTTACGTAACTTCATGACAAGATTCAACAAAGAAAAATTACAGCTACCAGACCTTCATATTATAGCGACTGTTTCGACTCTAACATATGCAGTAAAGTGTGAAGCCTTTATGATGTCTTTATCTAAGACATCACCAAAATCAGTGACTGAGCTCCTAACCCGAGGATAAAAGTACATCAACATGGAGGAGGCAATGAAAGCTAGCCCGAGCTCTGAGAAGCCCCAACTTAAGAGGCTACACGAGCCAAACTTGCAACAAGACCATG